TTGCTGAACCATCATTGACACTTACGAACGTTGAAAACATATCCATAAACTTCTTTGATATTCTTTGTGGCTACAGGGGCGTTGTTTCCCTTATTGTATTCAAACAGCATTACATGCCAAATTTGTGTGTCTCCTCATGTGCCATCACTATAAGGGATTAGAGTATACAAAACTTTACACATTATATAGGCTACACTAACATGACGTTTAGGTGGTTCATTTAACTATTATACATGATGTACGTTTTTTGGGGGGTGGTTATGAAAGTGTTCCAAAATGCGACATTAATTTCTTGATGACCTAGTACTTTAACAGATTTTCAGCTTTAACTCCATAATATATATTTTGGTCTTTTTTTTATGTTGCAGTTACAACTCAAAAGGTAAATCACTGTACCTGTGAATATCACAGAGTAAGTTAGTAATATGAAATTTTGGTGTCATAGCCACAAGATTCCTTTTTGCTAAGTTTTTTTTTATTTGACAAGTGTGTGTTTCTGTGCTTCTTTGTACTCTAGGTTTTGTACTTCAGTAAAACTTGGAAGTGGTATTTTTCAGACAAAGGACTTATGTACAAGAAGTTTAATGTTGAGGGTAGACTGAAATCCATAAAGCAACAAGGTCTAAGAGAAGTTCTTTCCTGAACATTAGCCTTTGGTGGATGCTGCAAAGGCCATATCTATTATCTCAGGCTAGCTACAAACTGAGTCAGAAGAACCACAATCTTGGGTCTTCAGAACTGCTGAACAGATTCTACCTCTATATTTCCTTGGCTCACAGAAAGAAAAGATGACTGAGGGTCAATGTGGTGACTTGCAGGGTTGAGATTCTAAGTGGGGGGTCTCTATATCTCACTCAGACTAGCATCAATCAAGTTAGTCCAACCCAAACGTTGGGCAATGTCATCTATGGTGGATAAAATTCACTAGTTGGAACTGTCTTGCTACTGTGAAAACTGCAAATATATATTGGATGAAGATGATATTCCTAGATCAGAGAAAAGCTTTTCTGAGATGGAGGTATGTGTTTAGAACCACAATAGGCATGAAGAATCTTGGATTAGTGCAGAATTTGAAGACGAGTTTCCCACAGCAGTTTTTTATTCTGACACCCAGAAACAGGGACCAAGCATTTGTACAAACTTGAAGGTCCATGAGCTCCAACACCACTCTGTTCCCCTGACATAGACGGTATCTCAGTCTGGTGTTGGCTGAGATACCTCTAGAAATGTCTTGTTTTCATGAACACAGGTTCCTATAATCGAGATGAAGCATATTTCTTATCTAGTATTTCAGGGCACAACCAAGAAAAACCTGGACTATTTCATTTAACATTTCAAGCAAATCACTATGTGGAATAAATCCAATCAAGAATAGGTGATGCAACAAGTCTTGACAAACCAGCATTTGACATGATTCAGTACTTGAGAAGAAGTTCAGTAACCAGAAAACAGTCATAACCAAGTTGAGCCAACATTTCACTTTAGCGATAAAAACAAATATCTATCATGTGTTGAGCTCAAGGCAGTGAGAAACGTCCCTCTATGAATTTCACCTCTTATTTAAATGATTTGTTTTGCCTACATGGAAAGGCATGTTCCTTTATAGCATCAGCACGTTGTAAGGATACCCTCGTAGAGGGACTGCCAAGAAAAACAATGCAGTATTTCTTGAGTGTTAGAAATATCTACACCTTAATGGTGGCAGTATCTGTGGTGACTTGAGTTCAAATTGGTAAC